TCAGACAGGAGGTCAGACAGAAGATCAGACAGGAGGTCAGACAGAAGGTCAGACAGAAGGTCAGACAGAAGAAAGGCCATGACCACAAAAACCCTCCAAAGGAAAACCAATGAAACACTGAGATCCTGATCTACACGGGATTAACTGATCCGTGGGCGCTAATCTGGATTTGGACTTTACGAGCTACTGACTGGACGAAGATCACAACAGCCTCCACAGTTTTCTGAGTCCAACAGACTGAGCCGGGCCTGAGCGGTAGAACTTCTGTCAGCTGCACTGAAGCAGCAGTTTGACGGAACACTGGCGTAAAGGCTCTGCTCCAGGATGAATAGGAACCACCAAAACAGAACCGGACCAAAGGAACCCAAGCTGAGAGCTTGAGACGAGCAAATAGAACCGACAGGACCAGAAACAGATAAAGGAGGTAACCAGCACCACAGAACACACACTGACCTGGGGTCTGGAATCAACGCTGGTTCATCCTCACTGATCTTCACACACTTGGCAGGTCGCGGTTCAGCATCTGGAACAACGAAGGAGTGAATCAGGTTCACGTCTTCACATCCTGTCACAACTGAACCCGACTTAGTTTCCAGGCTTTGTTCCTGTTTTTGTCCAGAGTGACGTCCAGAACACCTGAAGGACAGGTCTTGGTCTCACCTGAAGGACAGGTCTTGGTCTCACCTGAAGGACAGGTGTCTGTCTCAGGTTCCACAGGCAGAGTCTTTGTGGCCTCCGTCGCCGTAGCAACGCCGTGCTCGTCCTTTCCTGCGGTTTCCTCGGAGGATGTGATGTCAACAGGGAGTCTCTCCTTCTTCCTCTTCTGGATCAGATTCTTCTTTACATCTGTGATGGAACCACAAGACGAAGAAACACCAGAGAAACATGACTGATGTTGGCAGGATTAGTCTAGCTTAGTCTAGTCTAGTTTACTTTAGCCTAGTCTAATTTAGTCTAGTCTACTTTAGTTAAGTCTAGTCTAGCCTACATTGGTCGAGTTAAGTCTAGTCTAGTCTAGCCTAACCTACTTTGGTCGTGTCAAGTCTGGTCTATTTTAGCCTAATTTAGTCTAGTTTACTTTAGTCTAGCCTACTTTGGCTAG